CACATTCCCGGCACGTCAAACTGACCCGTAATTGTAAAGGTAAAACTTGTGACTTGTTACTATATTCACGTCAGTACGTCAGTCATAATATGTCATACTACTCTCTTGTCAACTTGTCATGCATGTAATTTTCATGCTGCAGACGTTTTTTGTCTTTGTAATAATCAGTATTAGTAATTACTAATTAGTAAAATTTGTTTATTTTTTAAAGATAAAAGTCAAAATGACATTTTTTTATGTAGAAATTTTTTTTATGTAGAAAAGGCTTGTGTTGCCAACATAGTTACTAAATTTTTGACTTGGGGAATTATCTTTAAAAACAAAAACAGACTTTAGGATTGTGGAAAGTGAACTATAATTTTATTTATATTTATGTATAGGAAAGCTAGGTACTAGCTCCTAACAGGGGCGGATACAGGCCTTTTGAAAGGGGGGGGGGGGGCAGTTTAAGTTAAAGTTAGCCAGATTGCGTTAGTTTTTAAAATTTTTTAGAACCAAATATGTTAGAGACGGCTCAACGAAATATAGACAAACTATATAGTTTTGGAATCGGGAAATTGTGCTCTTCAAGAATATAGAACCAAATATTGAATTTGAAAAAAGCTGAAAGCATGCAACATTTCACACTCGATTTCACAGTTCTAACATTCAATTTTTGTTTCTGACCGTGGATTCTAAAAATTTAGCCATTACTGTACAACTTTTTTATTTACACCTTTCATCTACTTGTAAAAGTGAAGGCTATGGGTGGGGTGTCAATAAATAAAAAAACACCTTGTACTTGAACAATAACTTGCTATATGAAGTCAGAATTTGTAAGATTATCCACTTTTTGTCAATTTGATTTTCAATTTTCAACAGGAATTAGTAATTTTACTTTACCAAACTAGTAACATAATGTGACAAGTTATTCAAGTACAAACGAGTGGATTGTTGCGGAATTTATGGGTGGACCTCTGCGCAGTCATCTATTCATCAATATGTTGTTTAATTACGATACTAAATTGACTCACTCAAATGTGCGTTATTTTCATTAGTTTAAAAATTAGACGTTTCAGGTGAATGTCTTACTTGAACAGTTCAACAGTATATTGGTGATTACTACTACTACTACACGTTTCAAGTAGGTGTCTTATTTGAACAGTTTAACAGTACCTATATTGCTGAGTAGATGGCTGGTAGAGGACCACCCATAAGTTCCACAATAATCCACTTATTTGTACAGGGTGTTTTTTTATACATTGACACCCCACCTACAGCCTTTACCTTCACAGGTAGAAGAAAGGTCTACATACAAAAGTTGTACATACAGTTTTGGCTGAATTTTTAGAAACCATGGTCAATGGTCAGAAACAAAATTTGAATGTCAGAAATGTGAAATTTTGCATGCTTCCAGCTTTTTTCAAATGGAATGCCCTATATTTCATTCTATATTCTTGAAGAGCACAATGCCCCGTTCTATATTTGATTGAGCAATCTCTCATATATATTTGGCTCCAAAAATTGTAAAAATCTCGGTAAAAATACTATCCTACTACTGATTTTGTGAACCATTCTACCTGTACAGGTGGAAGCTGCAGGTAAAATTTGAGGTACTTGGTTTCTCTGATTATTCCACTCATGTGTTAGAAATCCCATAAGACAAGTGACGATTTTCAGAATTACAGCGAAAATTCTCTTTTTCATTTGTTTAACTAGAGAGAATTACAGCGATAATTCTCCCATGTTATTGTATACATGGTTTTCATGCTAATTTTTGATACAAACAAACGGTTCCTGATAGCAGCCATTTATTTGTATTGATTGTTAAGATGTTCAAATCGTTTAATACATATTTATTTCCATATTTTTTGCATTCTCATACGTGAAATAATTCTCTAAATACCACGTGAGCTTTAAAATGAACCAGATATTTTTTTACTCATGCGTGTTTTCTCTGCAAATTTCACGAGTCCGTAGGACGAGAAAACACGCAATCGTGAAAAATTATCGGTAATTTTGAAGCTCTCGTGGTATTATCCCCGATATTATTTAAAAAATGTTTAGAGCCAAATATGTTGGAGACGGCTTAACCAAATATAGACAAAGTATACAGTTTTGGAATCGGGAAATTGTGTCATTCAATTTTTATTTTTGATCATGGCTTTTAAAAATTTAGCCAATGCTGTCCAACTTTTGTATTTACACCTTTCATCTACCTATAAAGGTAAAGGCTGTAGTGTGATTTTTTTATAGGTTTCCGGTTTTCTAAACATTCTTAAAACATAAAATATGGTTTTGTTTCTTTTTTTTTTTTTAATTTTATTATTTTATTTTAAAAAGGGGGGAGGCTACTGTATCCGCCACTGGCGCTACTGACTCCTAAAGCTTATTAATTCTCACTTGTGCGAAACTCGCGCAACGTTTTTGACATGGTATTTTCGCTACATTTTTTTTTTTTTTTTTTACGGATATGCGCACTCGCAAGGAAATGTCCTATCACGCTCGAGAAGCGGCAAGAGCGCGGAAATGTCGGTGTATGTTGGTCTTGAAACGGTTCAGGTTGTAACCTGCAGGGAAAACCGTCGCAGGGAGTTTATTCCACAGCGATGCTGTTCTCCAGAGATATGAATTCTGATATAATGAGGTTCTTGGTGCCTCTAGTTTGACATGGTTACCGTCTGTTTGACGGGTTCGCCTGGTAGGTGCTACTCTCGGTGGAATCATACGTGCCAACTCTTCAGAGCATTTTCCGTGATAGTACCTGTAGAAGAGAGATAAATCGCCCACAGATCTGCGATGTTCGAGACCATCCAAGTTACGAGTAAGTGCGGGGTCATTGATCAGCTTGATAGCTCGTTTTTGCACGGTATTCAAAAGCATTAAGGTATGTTTGGGTGCTGCACTCCATATATGTGAGCAGTACTCCATAGTTGGTCGAATCTGGGCTTTGTAGAGTGTCAGCAATTGGCTTGGTGTGTACAGATGTCTTGTACGAAATAGCACCCCCAGCTTTTGGGAGGCCCTTTTAGCAATATCTGCCACGTGACTGTGCCAAGACATGTTGGTCTCTGCAGTAACCCCCAAGATGTTCAACTGACTCTGTAATGTGACAGCACTTCCAGATAGCATGATGTTTGGCTCACCGGTGCTGGTCTTTTTTGAAAACAGAGCTGCTTGGGTTTTCTGCGCGTTGAACTGTACAAGGTTTTTGTTACCCCAGTCCTCTATTATCTCCAGGTCGTTATTTATCTGCGATATTTGAGTTAGTCTAAGATGATGGAATTCACGTGCGGAAAGACCTGTGGGTGGTATGAGTGAGGAGACTACATTGCCATCGTCTGCAAAGCAATAAAGTGGATTTACTGTTTTATCTATGAGGTCATTTATGTAAATCAGGAAAAGAGTTGGCGAAAGGATTGCTCCCTGTGGCACACCAGCATTTATTTGGTAAGAGTTGGAGTTCTGGCCATCCAGTGCAACATAAATGGATCTGTCCTTTAGGTAACTTTCAAACCAAGTGCAAATGTTCGGCGATAATCCTATTGCTTTGAGCTTGTTGAGCAGATTTTCATGCCAAACTTTGTCGAATGCTTTAGATATATCTAAGGCAATTGTTGTTGTTTCACCCCGCAACTCAATCGCTTTTTGCCATGGCGGTAAAGTGCAACTTTCCGCACGCTTATAAGAAAATAATAAAGGATGACCCGATGAGGGATGACCTCTTGTCAATTAAAAAAAAAAATAACCTTTTTTGTTATCAATTCCTAATTTTAATGTTACCTACTTTTGAAAAATTGATGAAGTTAATTTTAGTTCAATGAACACTTATATTGGAAAATTAAAATTGTATAACAAAGATATTTTTAAAATTTTAGTGCGTCTTCCTTTAATCACCCAACAACAAAAATATTCCCGTGAATCACACCTACCCCCCTGCCTGATTTCCTATAATAATAATGTCATTGGCGCCCTGTAAAGATCAACAAATTCATTGCTGAAATCAATAAAAATAATGGCACACATGGCACAAACTTTTTCTAATGACAATTTCCAGAAGGGGCATTTTCCTTAGCAACAACAAAATAGGACAACGCATTAAAGGGGGAGTTGAAAAATCAATAGAAAAATTACAAATGGGAAAAACAATGTGCGAAAGTTAAAACAAAAAGAAACAAATTATTCTCGCCGTGTAGATCGTTGCATCTTTTTTGTATTCGAGGGATTAGAACGAGAAGGAAACCGCGTGTACTACAAGATTTCGTCAAAACAACTTTACCAGTGAAGACCGGCTAGAAAAAAAAACTTCAAAACATAACATAACCTGAAACTTACTATGGTAAACCTGAAAATTTTGTATTTAATTATTACGGAAAACAAAAATAATTTCGTGCATTACCGCGCCAGGAGTAAAAATTTAAAAATAACAATTTGGTTAAATTAAAATTAGCCTACGATTTTAGTCAATAATTGTGAATAAATAATATAGTGAGCTTATTTTACCCATCAAAAGCTTTATTTACATTATTCAACTATGTATTAATGACACCTTTTGAGATGAGAATATTGTTGTATAATAAAAAGCCAAAGCTACGCCATATTGGCTAAACCCTTAAATATAAATGGCATTGAAAAAATATTGCAATAAAATACCAAACATTTGGCGTATTGTTTATGTAAAGTAATGAATGAAAAATATCACAAATCGACAAACTTACTTTAGGTCATGTATAGAGATATTTTTTGCACCCAAACGCACTCAAAAACACCAGGAAAACGGTCGATAAAAACTTTAATGCAAAAAGGTTCACTTAAATAATTATATTGCCAAGGCGAATCAAGCTAAGACTCAAGTTTACGACAATAAACCCACTAAGAACGTACGTTAGAAACCAGTAAGACATCTTCCGTAGGTCGGAGCTTTGTTCAGGGACCAAGGCATATAGAGTCTAGGGGGTGTAATTTTGTATTTGTGCTTGTGCCATTCGAACGTTTTAATTGTAAACAACTCGATAACTTACCTTTTTTTTTTTGGTAAAAAAACTAAGTTCATTAACACTTGAACAAAAAAATATCCGAGAAACTTTCAATTTTTACCGTTTAAAACTAAAAATGTTGCAACAAATCTAAATATAATATTTATATATAGATCCCCGCCATTTGCAATTTGTGCCGGCTTCGGTACAGTCGGGGGTATAAACATTTACACACATTAAGACCGGGACTGCTAAAACAAAATCGAAAAAAACCGGACAAACAAAGAAGAAGTCAGTTTCAGGGCCTCCGCACGACACACGCGAAAAATAAAACAAGTCCGAATTAGGTAGAAAATAAAACTAAAACGGAACGGCGAAGCGGTTTTGAAAATGAGTCGATTGTTGAATAAATTTTTGTGCCTGGGTGTACAGTAAACAAATGTCAGAAGGGCGGTGGTGGCCGAAGGAAAAGATTAACATAACTAGGGGTGGATTTTGTTTGTTGGTCTTACATAAAATCGGCTGCACAATATAAGGGAGTTTTAAATTTAAAATAGAAATTTATTATCGATTTTTCAATATGAAAAGGCGTCGCGGCGTTTCAAATGCGTCTAACTTTATTTTTATTAATGTTGTTAACACAGAGTCGTTTCATTGGAAATTTAACGCTAAAAATAGATTTTTAATAATAAACATTCCTTGACGGATTTTGAATCCCTCCTCGTTTAAGTCGTTCACTAAATCACTCTAGAAGAGGTAAAAGTTAAAAATATATCCCCTTATAGACTTACATAATAAGTATTTTAAATTTTGAAATAGGTATTTTTGAATTTCAACTTTTTTTGTTTCTCAATTTGCATCATTATAATGCTATAGGCGGCATACAAAGTTCAACTGAATTCTTATCAAATTTCATCCGCTCATTATCTTTCACTTTCTTTACGGTGAAAGCAAAAATCCTGATTTTTTTCGAAATATATAGTGCCTATAAATCTGTCCAGAGAAAATCGATTGCGTATTAAGCTAGAGCTACAAGACGCGGCAAAAGCCTTTGAACGTTGGACACCAGTCTCACAGTGTCATCACAGTATGCCACATTGACTCCACTGGTGTACATTGATTAGACACAGTAGGGTTATATCATTCCTCCGTTTCTTAAAGAATAGGCAATTTTTCAAGTCTCAGACACCTTACTTAAGTCCATCAGAAAATTATTGAGCCATTTCTATACCTATGCATTCAAAAAACTTCCAGGAAAAGCGCAATACGATAATTAATCCAGTGCCTGGGGAAGAGTTACCTTTTATGTCCTTTATATGGAAAAAATGGTATGAGTTCAGCTGCATGCTCACACCTCTTTAAGGTCGTGGATAAAAACCAGAAAGCTTTGGAACGACCATATATATTTTTGCTCTTATAATGGCATATCAACAGACGATCCATGAAGCAACAGGAATTACTGAAAGTCTTGATCAGCAGAAAACTGCGACTACCCTGTACTCTACAAATCAGAGTTATCCAACATCCAACAAGGACTTAGTAGTCGGGAATCTGAGGGGCTGAATTCGACCACCTCTATACCAAGTCGCGAACATCCACCTAAAAAACATGAAATCCTATGTAAAATGACCTGCCGGATTCGAATTTCTTGTTCGCCCTTTAATCCGGAATTGCGAAATGTGTCAAAACATGACATTTTTGAAAAAACTGAAAATTTCCATTGAAATAATTTTTTTTGAAAACTAGTGCATAACTTTGTTAATGGATGTAGATACGATTGTTATGAATTTTGGATATGATATTTTTCAGTACTTCCCTGACATAGTTTCAAAACAATAAAAAACATAGAACGCCACATAAAAGCTACGTAATTTTTTTTTCGCCAGATGACACAAAATATCGTCATTTTGCAGCGTTAAATGGTGAGTCGAGAATAGATACCAAGTATAAGCGAGAAAAATGTTGCCAATGGAGTAAAGAAACTTTTTTACTAAAACTTTTTTTCCATACGACGTTTAGTTTGGGCTGTATTTTTTTTTAAAAACCGAAGAAAATTGAATTGCCGCGTCTCAACTCTCGGCATTGCCGGTGAGCGCGATCTTAGGACGCGGTGCAGCAAATCAGTGTGCCAGAGAGAGTTAACACCACAGCTTTCTTCATACGTGCAACAAAGACACGCATTACGATATTGTTATAATATTGTAGGGAGTATATGGGAATGGGGGATTTATGGGTTTGGTTGGGTTGGGAAACAATATGAATAAAAAAAAATATTAATAATAATTTTTTTTACAAGTATAAAAATAGTACATTATATACCTAGGTAGAGAAGTTGGTCATTATATACCGAGCGCTTTTATAAACCGAGACGCGTAGCGCCGAGGTTTATAATGCGTAAGGTATATAATGACTTTCTCTACCGTGGAGTATATAGAATTTTTTTTACTACTGCTATAGTAGAAAATAAAAAATAAGTTTGAAATCTGAGCTCAAATTATTTTTTCTAGTTGAAAGTGCTGCTCTCTATCAACATCTATGGTAATTTCCTATGATACATACAGGAACCTGTTTTTTTGATTAAATTGACAGTTTGAAATTGAAATTAAATCAATAGAAACCTGTAACGTTATGACAATATCCTTGCGTCATGACGTCATTTTCATTATTGACCTAGGTTTTTTTTCATTATTTTCATTATTAACCTAGGGAGAGAAATTCAATTTTTTCCGAGAAAAATAGATTGAATAATGACTACTTCTCAGGTTAGTAGTAAAAAAACAATATTATCATTATCCAATCAAAATATTTATTTCACAATGCATTTTCTCTCAGACAAACACTGGCAAAAGAAAAAAAAAAAAGTCACATAAAAGGTATAAAAATTCCATTTATTTATTTATTAATTATTACCAAATATGGAATCTATTTTTAGGGAATCCAATTAATGTCAGTAAAAAAATAATGACAACAAGATTTCTTTTTTAAAACAAAGCATCAGGCTCAATTCAAAATTTTGTAGTAAACGGCTAATTCCACATGTTTTGGTGTTTTCATTCCAATTAATACAAATAAAAAGTCTTGACAAATAACCAAAACCTTTTCTTCAAGCTTCTCTTCCAACAGAACTTTTCAATCTTTGTCAAAATTCACTTCTTTTTCACTAGTTTCTCAGTAAGTATCCACGAAAAAGGTTTTATAATGGCTTTGGTATGATATTAGGATGCACATTCTTCAGTAATTGTCAAAATGTCTTGCTGCACACAATTTGCAATAATTTGCCCTTAAATATTAAACATTTGATTGCAGTTTATAAGGAAAAATGTGAAAAATGTGGCGTCAGCGTCAGAATTTGAAGAACTTGAATTCCTTACAGCGTCTTATTTATTGATAATTACTTTAGTAGAGCAAAGATAACTTGAAAGTTTTCCATCTTGGAGAACAACCATAATTATTGTTCTCTTAAGAAGACTTTGCAGGTTATTGATAATCTCTTCTAACGATGGATATTGTGCAGTTCACTCAACGTTCCATAACTTTGCTTCCTTGCTTCCCTATGTAGGATGATTTCTATTGTGAAGACCCTATTTTCTATAAATAGGGCATTTTCTATATAAGATTGAATTTTAATAAAAATAGTTCCAAACGAAACTACTTCAGATCAGTGGCGGCTCGTGGTGTCCAAGTAAGGGTGGGCGACAAAAATAAAAAACAGCCGTAGGCGATTTTTTTCTAGATTTTCAAGGTCGCGCGCGGCCTTTCAAATATTGTATTAAAAGCATTTTTCATTTTTTCATTCTTTCTTCAGGGTGGCGGTGCCCACCTTGCCCATATGGGCGAACCGCCACTGCTTCAGATTCTTGTAGGAAATTTACTTCTGATTTTGATTTTTGGAATAGTTTCATGAAACACAGACTATGATACGATTGTATGCACATTCGTGAGCAATCATGTCAATACAATTATTACCAAATCCTTGAATTCAATGCAAAAGTTGATGGTTGTTTTTGCTATGTTCCATATTTCATTTTGCTTATCAAATGTCAGTATTTGCTTGAGTCTTCTCAAACCCCTACTATCGCGAATTTTATTGCATATTATGCAAATCTTTGAATAAGAGGATTTAATTCGCTTACTAGTACATTTTGAAGCACCTTCTTCTGGTTCAGGTCTTCTCTTGTAGGCTTTCCTGCCTGGTATAAGCTCGTCTACGTTTAGAATTTAGGGTGATAAACAGGATTTAATGATAAAAACAGTTCTCTTTTGTCAGCATAGTATCTAACGGCCAATTTCATAATAGAGAATTAAAAGTTACTTTAGCTAAATAGACTTTTAGGATAGGATTTTTCAACTTCAAATGGAAAGTTTACTTTAAGTTAATTATGAAATTGGTCGTAAGAGCTATGGAAAAACGATCGCCTTTCTCAATGACAATAATACATGCTTGAAACAGGAAATGTAGGTACGGCTTCTTTTGTGACACTTTGTACCGTTTCCTAATTATTTGATTGACACAAAATACACTCGTTGAAATTGATATTTTGACTTATGACAACAAAATGAAATTCAGAAAGAACACTTCTGCTGTCGGCGTCTTCGCGTTATCTTTGTTGCACATATGAAGAAGGCTGTGGTGCTAACTCTCTTTGACACACTGATCGCTTTATCCGCTGCACCGCGTCCTAAGACCGCGCTCACCGGCAATGCCGAGAGTTGAGACGCGGCGATTCAATTTTCTCCGGTTTTTAAAAAAGAGTACACCTCAAACTAAACGTCGTATGGAAAAAAAGTTTTAGTAAAAAAGTTTCTTTACTCTATTGGCAACATTTTTTTCGTTTATACTAGTTATCTATCTCTCAAGATAAAAAAGTTTTCTCGACTCACCATTTAACGCTGCAAAATGACGATATTTTGTGTCATCTGGCGAAAAAAAAATTACGTAGCTTTTATGTGACGTTCTATGTTTTTTATTGTTATGAAACTATGTCAGGGAAGTACCTACTGAAAAATATCATATCCAAAATTCATAACAATCGTACATCAATTAACAAAGTTATGCACTAGTTTTCAAAAAAAATTATTTCAATGGAAATTTTCAGTTTTTTCAAAAATGTCATGTTTTGACACATTTCGCAATTCCGGATCAAAGGGCGAACAAGAAATTCGAATCCGGCAGGTCATTTTACATGGGGTTTCATGTTTTTTAGGTGGATGTTCGCGACTTGTATAGAGCATCTTTAAAAGGCTTCCTAGGAGGCGTCAGATTCCCAACTATAGGGCCGATTTTACAAGTAGAGCTTAAACTCCAATCTTAAGTTTAAACTACAGTTTTATAAAATTGACAATTTTACAACTTGCGTTAATCGTCAATCCTAAGTTTAAACTTTACCGTTGGTTGGGGGTTGGTTTAAACTACAATCCTAAGATTATAAACCTATTTTTAGGAAACAAATCAATGAATAAAATATAATAATAAATCTTTCGAGTTGTTGAAACCAAACCACAATGGAAGAAGATATACTTTGTTTCTGGTGATATTCTGAGTGATGATGAAGACAATTTAAATATTATCCAATGACCTCGTAGACCAAAAATAATTCGGGAGCGGGTAAATCATCTGGAACTTTGAGATAATCAAAACTTTAATAGAGTAATTTCTTATTCCGAGAAATTTTGATATATTTTTTGTAACAATTGTAACAAATCCATTATTTCA